GGTTCGTCGAGGAGAATGAGCAAGATCATGCTCTCTCCAAACTGGAGACTTCCGCCTATCACATGGGCACAAAGGATGTCTACCAGTACACCGACGACTCGAGGACCTGATGGACCTCGCTGGATTCGAAGACGCGTTGGTCAAGGTGACCAAGTTCCGCCACGGACTTGACCCCCTGATCAACAACGGAATCACGTCCTCGAACGACCCCCCGGACCTCCGGGACTACCTTAGCTGGCGCACCCGGGCCTTCCGTCAATACGAGGCCCTGGTCCGGGCCAAGCTGATCAAGTCAGCCGCCCCCAAGACGCCTGGCGGTTTGATTCGGACTCCGTTTCCGGTCAACCGCATCCCGGCTCCGGCCCCTTTCCGCCCGGTGGCTCCGGTCGTGCACCACCCGCCCGCGCCCCCCGCTCCGGTGCCTCCAGCTCCCGCCCCATGGAGTTGGATCGCACTAGGGCTCGGGGTGCCCCTCGTCGCGCCTGCTTCAGGTGCGGCGACCCGAACCATCTCGCCGGGATTGCCCCCCTCCCGCGGACGTCCGCTCAATGGACATCCTCGACGAGGTGATCCAACAACTCGGTGACGAGATGTTAGCGGAGTTGATCGCCCGCTACTCGGACACAGCCGCGTTGCCGGACACAGCCGCGTTGCCGGAAACAGCTGCGGAGTCGATGGCCGGAGAGGATTTTGTCCCCCGCGACGAGTGACTGGTGTGCCCTCGTTCGCGTCCATAAATCGTTTCGCTTGTTTGTATGACGAATCAATTCCTTTGCCCTACAACGAGCTTGAAACGAAAGACATACCCTCCCCCGCCCCCCGTTTCGACTCCATCTCCGACTCCGCCCGCGACTCCGGTCATCGTCCTTCGCCGCCTCACTGCCTGGGAAAAGAAACTGCCCAAGCAGTACACCGTCGCTGCCTCCCCTGGAGTGAACTCCCTCCACCTCCCGTTGGAGCTAGAGTCCACCACCAGTGCGTTGAAGCTCTCCCTTTCTGGGCTTGTTGACTGTGGTGCCACCTCCGACTTCATCGACACGAACTACGTCGCTCGGAATGGCATTCCGGTCCGCACCCTGGCGCAACCGATTCCGGTCTTCAACGTCGATGGCACTCCGAATGGTCGCAGGCGTCTCCGCTTGGCCGACTCCGGACAACAAGAAGGATGTTCAACAGTTCCTTGGGTTCGCTAATTTCTACCGCAGGTTAATTCGGGACTTCTCGGCCCTCGCGCGTCCTCTCTTTGCGCTCACCAAGAAGGACCAGCAATGGACTTGGGGCGACGCGGAGGCCTCCGCGTTCCAAGCAATCAAGGACGCGGTCACCTCGGAACCGGTCCTGGCGATTCCGGACGACGCACGGCCTTTCCGACTCGAGGCGGACAGCTCTGATTATGCGACGGGGCGGTTCTTTCACAATCCGCCCCGGACGGGAAGTGGCACCCTGTAGCATTCTATTCCAAAAGCTTAAATGATGTCCAGCGCAACTACGAAATCCACGACAAGGAGATGCTCGCGATCATCCCGCACTCGAGGAGTATAGACACTTCCTCGAGGGCGCTGCACCCTGTCGAGATTTGGACTGACCATAAGAATTTGGAGTACTTCAGGAAGACGCAGCACCTCAACCGGAGACAGGCCCGCTGGTCCCTCTACCTCTCCCGGTTCGACTTCACGCTGCACCACAAGCCCGGCCGCGACATGGGCCGACCTGACGCCCTCTCTCGGAGACCCGACCACGGAGTCGATTCCGACAACTCCGATGTCGTCCTTCTGCGGCCTGAACTCTTCCACGTCCGCGCACTCGGGGCGTTTCCGTTTCCGGTCCCGGCTCTGAACTCCTCCGCGACATTCGTGATGCCCTCTCCGGTGAGCCTGACCTGGAGGAGCCCGTCGCACTAGCGGCCCGGCAACTTCTTAAGGTCCAAGGTCAAGCTCGAGGCCCCCGCTCTTCGCGGTCTGACGAGTGGGCCGTCTCCGGCGGTCTTCTCCATTTCCGGGGAAAGATTGTTGTACCAAAGGACAAGGACCTCCGGAGACGCATCATCGAGCTCTGCCATGACACCCGAGTCGCCGGACACGCAGGTCGTTTCAAGACCCTGGAGTTGGTCTCCCGGAACTACTGGTGGCCTCAGATGTCTCGCCATATTGGCCGGTACGTCGCGACCTGCGACTTGTGCTGTCGCACCAAGGCGCTCCGGAGACTGCCCCACGGAAAGCTACACCCGACGGAAACGCCCCCGGAGCGCTGGCATACCGTCTCCGTCGACTTCATCGTCGAGCTCCCCGAGGCCCATGGGTACGACGCGATCATGGTCGTCGTGGACACCCTCGGGAAGCGAGCCCACTTCTCCGAGTGTCACACCACCGTCGACGCAGTAGGAGCAGCCCGCCTCTACTACCGGAATGTCTGGCGCCATCACGGGACTCCGGAGAAGTACGTCTCCGACCGTGGCTCACAGTTCATCGCGGACTTCACCCGAGAACTCTGGCGTCTAATCGGCATCAAGCCAGCCACGTCCACCGCGTATCATCCACAGACGGACGGTCAGACAGAGCGCGTCAACCAGGAGTTGGAGCAATACCTGCGGATCTTCACCAACTATCAGCAGGACGACTGGGATGAGTTGATTCCGGCCGCGGAGTTCGCTTACAACAACCATGTTCACTCCTCCACGCAGCAAGTCCCCTTCATGACGGACACGGGGACGGCTTCCCGCATGGGCTTTGAACCCGGAGTCCGTTCCGCTATGGAGTCTGTGAATGAGTTCCGTGACCGGATCGCCACTGGTGTTGCTGAAGCCAAGGCCCGCTCACTAAGGCCAAAGAGGAGTACAAGCGCTACTACGACCGGAGACGCACTCCGTCTCCGGAGTTTAAGGTTGGCGACCGTGTTTGGCTAGATGCCTCTGACATCAGGACGACTCGCCCCTCGGAAAAGTTCTCCCATCGCCGCCTTGGACCGTTCAAGATAGTCGCGGAGATCAGCAAAGGTGCCTACAAGCTCGACCTTCCTCCGCGCTACTCGAAGCTCCACCCGGTCTTCCCCGTCGTCAAGCTCGAGCTCGCCCAGGACGACCCCTTCGACGGACGCCCCGGCTACGACCAGCCCCCTCCGGACCTCGAGGACGGAGTCCCGGAGTGGGAAGTAGAGGAAATCTTGGACGCAAGGGTGAGGTATAAACGGCTGAATTACCGTCAGATGGAAAGGCTATGACGCGTCGCACGACCAGTGGGTCCTTCGACCGCGTCTTCGCCCCGGAGAAAATCGCGGAGTTCTACCGTAAGTACCCTGGCAAACCACGGCACATCGCCTCTGCGACCTTCGACTCGATTCCGTTCCGGTCTATGCGTCGGGGACGCCGCATTCAAAGGGGGGGTGATGTCAGGGGAACCTCCCTTTCGGCCCCTCGGAGACGCCTCCGATTCCGGTCTGACTCCGGTTCCGTCTCCGGTCCGGCCCTCCATCTCGCCCGCACAATCACCGATCCGTCAACGCCCTCCCAACAGTCGCCCTGGGACCTTGCCTGCGACACCGCCCAAGCCTTCTGTGCCCGACAGCGGCAGCTACGGACAAGCAGTATATAGTCAGCTCCCTAGCAGGCGGACCCTTAGAGTTTCTTCTCTTTGGATCCTCCCCTGCTAGGTCAGCTTCATTTGTATTTGCTTACCAATGTTCACGCTTTGGATCCTCCCCTGCTAGGACCTTGATCTCAGGCCTCCGGGGTTGCCCTTACAGCTCTTGTCACTCAATAGAGGGAGGTGTCAATGTAAATGCCCCAGGCGTTCTTAGAGACCTGTCCTCTATCATTTTGCACTTATTTTATTGATCTAACTACTATATACAGACAGGTCACACGACAAAGTCATGTTGTCTCTGAGAACGCCTGGGTCATGGCTATGTGGTGAAGGGAAACAGCCTTCCTTATAAAACCTGGAAAAAAGCTCAAGGTCACAAATGTCACACTTTTTTTTTCAAAAAAAATTGTGAGCTAGTGCTTGGCCAAAGCCAAGACTAACATTATTTTAGCAACTGACATCATCGTTTAGTGCTTGCTCAACACCACCATCTTGTGGCATCAAGACCTTTTTGCTCATTCCCTGCCTATCCTCATCATGCACTTTTAGGAGGGTCTAGCTGCTTGCTTATGGTGTTGGTTTCCACCCAGTTATGCATTGTGCTAGCCACAGGCTGCCCCGAGTTTTATCTCCTGCCGATAGTTGCCTAAGTTGCCCTCTTGTGGTTCGGGAGCTCCTTAGTTAAGCATCTCCCTTTTCCTGAGGTTGCCTAAGTGTTACACTCTTGGGGCAGAGCATCTCATTGTGGCCTTGTGGCTTTGCGGCCAAGCCTGGCACACTGCTACCTATGTATCACATGCTTATGCGCTTATGCATAAATTTTTGCCTTCTCCAGTTGCTTTAGACATTTACATATCCATATTTTCCTACTGTAAGGGCAACCCCGGAGACCTGAGATTAAGGTTCTATCAGGGGAGGATCCAAAGCATGAACATTGGTAAGCAAATACAAATGGAGCTGACATAGCAGGGGAGGATCCAAAGAGAAGAAACTCTAAGGGTCCACCTGCTAGCTGACTATATACTGCATGCCTGGTGTGCCAAGAATAATCATCACTCTAAGCAGAACTTGAAGGCCTCTGGCCCTATCCTAACTTCCAAGGTAACTGTTGGGAGGGCATTGACAGGGTGACGGGGCAGAGCAACAACTGGAAGAAGGTAGAGAACCCTAGAGTTGTGGCAGCCAATACAGAAGCTTTATTTCCAGGTTGCTTATCAGGCTACATTACTAAGAAAGCCATGTGTACAAAAGATTACAATCAGAGCATCCAGCTTCTTTATTCTCCAACAGATATATTTAGAGATAACAAGTTTCAACTTTCTATAACATACAGAAGTTATAATATTTTATGCTCATGAATTCAAGGATTATAGTCACGACAAACAGAGAAAGTACATTGACCTGCCCTTAGAAATAGTCAATCTAATGCCATGATGCCCATCCAGGATACATTTTTGCTAAATTTGCCAACTCTGTTGCCTCTTGAATAAGCATCTGCACCATATTCTCTGTTGAGACCTCCTTCTCGCTAGAGGTCGGGCGCTCCTTGGCCGTTGTTGGTGAGTACAGACCCTTAAGCTTCCGCTCAATGGGCTTGAGCGCATCCTTGCCAAGCATACGCAAATCCACAGAGGGCTTGACCGTGTTCCGTCCCGACCGTGTTTCCTTCTCCTTCTCCCGCTTGCGTTTTTCATCTTCCCATTCAACAAGTGGATCATGGATAAAGGCATCCAGCACACTCATGAGCACATCCTTGTTGTCTCGAAGGAGCTGCAGCGTCACCTCGCAGGCGATGCGGAACACGCCCTCGACACCTGTGACGCCCAACCCATCGACAAGGTTTTGTGTTAGTCTGAACGGAACGCGTTCGGGTGTCTCCAGCGTTTTCCCTTTTTCAAAGAGGCAGTTGAAGTCGACGTGAACAATGTCCCCCGTATTGACATCAAGCAGGATGTTTTCACTGTGTCGGTCACCAAGACTGCCAACCGTTAGCAAGTGTTAGCGTCTTTATAAACACTAACCCCAGAATGAAGCCGACCATAGACATAACAGCTGCAGTCCGGCCATATGCCAAACGGCTTGCTAACCAGGCTGATGGCTCCGGAAACATTTCAATGAACCAATCGTGGAAGAGCGGCGGGAACATGGACAAAATCTTGGTCCTGAAGAGCTCGCCCGCCTCTTTGTCTGGTAGATGTTTGATTCGTCCGAAGATCTCATTCATCTCGGGCCCCTGCGCTCTTATAAGGGCTCATATCATCGCAATAAACAGGACATACCCAGCTCTTGATTCGCATGGCGTCGTAACGCTTCATGAGGACTGGCCGCAGCGGCGTCGTATTCGGGACCCATTGGATGAACCCACATTCCTCATTCAAAGTCACAACGCCATAGGTTCGGATTCCTGATATCGCTCAGTGAGAGAAACAGCGAGAAAGAAGGCACTCACTCAATTGACGACGTCTAGACTCCGAATTCGACTTGAGTAGCTTGTTGAGGATGGCATTGAAGTCCATTAGTCGTGCATCTTTGCGCAGGTCATCCTTCGGTTTTCCTAGGAACATGTATATTTGCCCGTTACTCCCCCTCATCGTGATCTTTCGAGGTTTCGCAAGTGATCGCATGACCTCAATCTCATCGAAGAACTCTGAGCAGGATACAGATCAGAACGGGGGCCGATAATCAGTAGAAACATGCCTTCAAATGTTGGAGCATCTGGAGGAAACGGCTGATGCTCTGAGGCCAACGCCGACGTCGGGGGTAGGCTGGCGGTGAGAGATTCTTGCAGCGGTATGATCAAGTCCGACTTGCCGCGCTTAAATAAATTCGGGAATGTTTTGCGCATCGACAGCGTTCGCCCATCGTCGCCGTCTCTGATGGGGTAGTCACATAGGTTCAAGAGCTCGAACGTCATGGCTTCGCATTCATTGACGAGATGGGCGACGCCGTTGCTAGTGGAACTAGGGTTATTCTGAACAAGAAAGGTGTTAAATCGACGGAATTGTTGCTGCCTAACTATTACCTTGAGGCGCTTGAGAATATCTTGGCCCCTCATTTGACGCTCTTTCTTGGTCGATTTGACGACAGCCATAAACAACCAAAGCGCCTGTTTCGGATATTCCTCCAATACTCGACCAATCAATCGAGCGAGATTCTTGTATACTTCGTCTTCTTGGTTGTCGCCGTGACCTACTCTGGACACGATCTGAGGGAAGGCGGTGTACCACTGAGAAGTGGTTAATAATCCGAGCAAAGAATAGGGAAAGAGACGCTGACCTTGTAGACGGGAGCATCTCGAATGATTTTCGAAATGACGTCATTCATTCGTTGAAAGGTCTGCTGCTGCCTCGTCCTGGGATCCTCAGCAAGATCAAGCCATATGGTCAACAGGCGGGGGACAGTTTGGTATACATATTTTGACCCGTTTCGAATAGCGCGTGCATATGACTTGACTGTCGACGCGTTCATACGAAGCCCCCTGCAACGCCGGATGAGCCAGCAAGAAAAAACATGAAAGCTTCGAAAATCTGACCGCGAAGCCTGGTCCTCTTTAGAAAGGTTTTTGAAACAGTCGTCATGGAATCGACCGAGATGGAAGTGACAGCTCTCCCAGCTAGATGTAATCAGTCAAGAGCCGTGAAATAAAGCAGCAACACACTCAGGTTGGAGCTCGGTCGAACCAAAGAAGGTAGAGAAGATGGCTTGACTATCGTATCTCTCTGATTCGTTCATCCATCGAGCGCGTAAAACTTGCACCTAGGCAAACATCAAAGGAATTTCACATTATGAAGCAGCATACAAACTTTGGCTTTCATCAGCTTGGCTTCGTCGTCGTCCTCTGTAAGGTCCATGATGTCCGGCTTATCGTCAAGCAGTCCAAGTGTTCGCATTGAGTTCTCAAGCTCCTGTAGTGCCCTCAACGGTTCTCCGGTAGCTTTGACGAGCTTTGCACTCTCCATGAATGCAAAATTGGCATTGCTTTGCCTAGCTTGGAGCATCGCACTGTATGCAGTTTGCCATTGACCAGCCTTCCGTGCGATTTTTGCACTGGCCAACCACGAGCGACCGATTTCCTTCTCAGATGTTTGACCTGGGGTCCTTCTACAAATAAGTCGGTCAGGATATTGAGAGACAAGAATCAGATGTACATCAAGCCGAAAGCCGTCCGTCGCATGCTAAGAATCGGTTCTCTAGCACGAAATGTTGGGAGAGTGGATTCGAGGCGACCTGCGAGAGAGCTTTGCAGTTGGGTGATAATTTGCTGTCGTTTTTGCGAGCGTCTTTGTGAACCGGTCGGCAACGAATTCAATGCCTCATAAATCAGCTCCAATTCGTGTGTGCGATGTAGATCCATGACCGCATCATAGGCGCGACGATAACCTCGGGGACCCGCAGCCGCAATGGGAGTGCCCAATATCGATCTGGCAACAGACAATGTCGTTGTGATGGCTTCAGGATCGCGTAAACGCATGGCCAGCAGCACTCGGGCCATAACAATGGAGGGGTTTTGAATTTTGGTTCGGTCAACCAGTTCCTGAACATCACTCCAAGCTCCCACCATCCACGCACTCTCTACCTGGTATCCAGCAAGAGCCTCCTGCCACGAAGGATTGCGGGTAAGGACTCCGCGAACATGAGTTCGCAATGTATCTGAATGACGTCTTCAGTGACTATCATGAAATCGAAACAGCTCAGCCCACCATAATGACCCAAGTTGCGCAAACATCGGAGGAGACCAAGATGAAAGTCGAGATTGTCAGGCGACTGCTGTAATCGCACCTCCCAGCAACTCTGGGCCGATGTCCAGTGACCTGTACTCTCGTGTTGTCGTATTTGATGTTCCAATGTTGGCTCCAGGATCAGCGTTGACATGCCTTCCATTCCATCGGGTTCATCGAGATGCGAGTAGATTTCATGAAGGCGTTCATAATACTCATTCAAGTCCTTCCGCTTTGCAGAACGGGATTGTGCGGTTGCAATTTGCCACTCAAAGTTCATCAACGAGCGTGCATATGCTTTGCATTTGAGGGCTGCTCGGGCCATAAGATGCTGGTCGATGTTGGAGAGAATGGAATCGACACGCATGAGCTGGTCTTCGAGGTCAGCATTTGCATGTCGTGGTCGCTTGAGATCCGCTTTCTTGTGGCTGACTTCCTGCCGGACGAGGCGGACCCATTTGTTGAGATGGTCAAGAAGAGTAAAAACTACCTGACAAGGGGGGTAAATTAGGTGCCATGTCTATTGGTAACGAACTAACCTGGGCACTGAGCAACTTTTTATCGTCAGTAGATTCACTGTTTTTGTCGACTTGATCTTGGAGAACAACTTGGAGCTCGTTGCGGATATCGGAGGCATCGTCGCCTGTGCCGGAAAGAATAACGTTCAGTACCAGATGTGGCAGTAGGTGGTGAGCAACAACGACATCTTTGTTCCGCACAGCTTGACGAAAAATAGAGAAAACCGCTTTCGCAGTATTTCCTGTTACACGAGAGATGAGATGGAAGGTCCACCATTGAAGCCATTCGCGGTAGGTTGGGTAGCGAGGGTACAATGGGTGCGTTAACGTCTGCTGGGCTGTGGCTTCGGGGACGAATCGCCCATCAAGAAGAGGAGCAGCCGTTTCAATGACATGTTTGGGGAGACTATTCCAGCGATTTCGCACTTTAACGGGCACAGAGTTGTGGCCGGTCCCAATGAGAGCGGGAGTAAACTTGCAGAACTTGAGAAGCTCTTGAATGCAATACGCGAGTTGGTTCTGGTAGCGGATGTCGCTCGTGGAACGGAAAGCACCAACTAAGACGTCTTTGATCAAGTGAAGAACGAATGCAAGAGAGTCATCGTCGCTGGTAAAGTTGGTGACCATGACCATCGTGGACGGGTTGACGCCAATCTCGAAACGGTCTGGGTCAACGGCACCCAATGCACCGATACATTCGAACGCAAGCAGCCGCGCTGATTCGGTCCCATCTCCTTCCCGAGATGCGGCAGAAAACAAGGCTGAAAGAAGCTTTCCAATGAGTGGGTCAAATATGTCGCCAGAGGCTAATCCTGAAATCAGGTCTTTGCGCCGATTGCGCATGAATGTTTTAAGCTCGCCCAACGATTGAGTGGTGACCGTGAGGTTATCGCTGATGACACGTTCCAGAATGTTTTCGAGTTCTTCTTTGGGTGACCAGGAAGATCGCAGCTCCTTCAATCGCGTTGCAACACGCTCCAGTTCTGGTACACTGTCCAGTTCGACAACATCGTCCAGGTAGGAACCCAAACGAGAACCACATTTGATGACGATGTACTCGAGACATTCTCGAGCTAGAACACGACCGTTCGGTGAAAGGGCCGGCCAAGAAGCAACGAACGCAGCACTCGTTGGGCCGACATGAGGACCAATATCTTTCGTGGACTGAGCAGAGAGAAAAGTGTGCCAGCTTTGAAGGGTGACTTCAGAAAGCTCAGGAATGACAACCATGGTTTGGAACGTAGCCATGATCTAAATGAAGATGAGTAAGAAGAATAAATGGACTGAGGCTACTGACTTGCGGCGCAACGTTGCTGATGCCGGCCCCGATTAGACTAACGAGGAGACCCAAACTCTTCAAAATTCGTCGTTTCGTTACCAACTGAATTTTGCCGCGAGCGTCGCGCAGCATGTCGTTCACATCCGTGACAACTCCCAGCATGTAATTCTTGAGAAAATGGGACAAATTCGACTCCAGTAGATCGTGGTCTCCATTCATCATCACTTTCTCCACCTTCTTCAATGCAGGAAGGGCCTGAATCCGGAATATCAGCGACAGTAGTGATATAAATCGATCATGCTCACACAATCAGCCTTTCGAGGGTCCTCGTCACCTAAGACCACAACCAGCAACGCGAGCAGTTGAACGATCGAGCTCTTAACGACGCTATGTAGATCGATTTCTGTTTTGTTTGCTGAATCTCTGAGCACCTTCAAGAGACAAGCGAGACTCTTCTCCGTCTGACCTTGACCGGGAAGAAGAAAAATGTGGGCCAAGATCTCCGGGGTGTGGCGAAGTAAAACGACGGACGGCTTCTTGTGCAGGATTTGAGCTACCTCTTGCATGGCACGGTCGTCACAATGAGCAAACACATAGGGCAAGGTACGAGCTAGATTGATTTCAATGAAGTCTTGAGGTCGGGTGTTCAACAGACGACATGCTTCGACGAGAAGCCCGGGTTGCGAATACAATCGCAGGACAAGGAAAGGGGCGATTTCGTGGAAGTGCGGGAGGGAAAGGGCATAAATTGTCTTGTTATGGTGTTCCGCAATAGCAAGCAGCTGCGAGAAGCGATATAAGACAGTAAACAAACTGTTAAAAGAAGACACTAACCTGCATGCAGGCAGTACCTTTGAGGACGGGGTTTGAGTTACCGAGTTGACCAATCAGAAACGTAAGGGCTTGTCCCAGTAGCTCGAAATGCTGAATTCTAGCATATGTGAATATCGAAGACGACTGCGGGCTGAATGGATTGACCTTCCTAGTGATCCAACAGCAATAAACAACGTCTCTGCGACAGGCGTACTGTTGTCCCTAACTACTTCTCGCAGCTGTTCAAAGATGCTGGGTAAACGAGCGACGGCATCAGCAACCTTGTGTACGTAGAGCTCGATGAAAGCTGCAAGAGCAGATCTACAAAGAAGATGTTAGCTATAGTTATCGAGCGCAGACATGAAAATCGAACCCGGCGGCAAGTCGGACATTGCGATCTAGGTCGGCAATTCCCATCCAAACAAGATTCCAAGCGCGATCAATCATCGGCCCAGGGAGGTCACCACAATGATGATGCATCCCTACAGCAAGAACATTGAGAGCACGGCGTTTTACACGATTGGTCGCCTCGTTTGCCGGACCATCAATAACGCGTGCGACGAAAACGACAGTAGCGTCGAGCGAAAGTAGAAACCGGGTCTTGGAATGGACATGTCCCGAGGAATCACACCCTCCTGCAGAACATAGACAGGTGCTCATCTTGTCGATCAATACGAATCTCGACTCGGCATCCGAGTCCATCAACTCCCTACGATATATGATGAAAATGATTCGAACCTGGAAAAAACTCACCGAGAAAAACGAGAAGCAATGTCGTCCAGAGCACGCTGAGCATAATCATTATCTCCCATGCCCTCTTCTCCCTCCATCCAATCAATAGTGAGAGGAAATATAATCTCTTGCGTAAGACCTTTCAATTGATGGCGCCATGACGAGGCTCCCACTAGAGTTTGGCGTTCCATTGCCATCTTGCCAGCAATATCCTTACGCACTCTTGCCCATTCGAGTCCATGTGGAAGGAGCTGGCGCAGTAAACGGACAACATCGATTGGGAGATTGGTGACACAACAGCTAGTATATCCCACGACAAGAGCCTATATTACATCAGAACACTGCGCAAAGAAAGAGAAGAAATAAAAAAGGCTGTGTACCTTGCAGCTCGGCGACATTTGACCCCAGCCAGACGACTTGATGATAGATAAGAGCTCTTTGATGTCCCCGAGAGGAGGCGAGACAAAGGTCATGGCCCGAAAAGTTTCGAGTATTTCCACGTCAACGGCATCCCAACCGGTATGAGGACACTCGAGGAGTCGATAACGCAACAGGTGGAGTGGCAAGTTGGGGATATGCCTCGAAAATTCGAGGGGAACACGGATCAATTTGAGCGCTGTCCGCACACGACTCTCCAGAGACGATGCACAGAACGGTGAGGTGCAAAAGAAAACGGTCTGAGCAATAGACTCAGTAACTTGACGGGCAATGTCAACGGTCGACCAATGAGAGATGGGGGATGGATGGAGGGCCTGTGCTATGATTAAAAGTGTGTTTGCTAGAAATGTTGCGATATGGTCGGCCGACTCGATGGTGACCGTGAAAGCCTGTTCGGTTATATTCTAAGAAGAGAAAATGAGTGTAAGTAATACAACAGATATATTGGTAACGAACGGAGTCCTGAGACGAAGGTGTGCTTTGATCTTTGACTGGTACCGAAGCAAAAAGGGTAATAGCAACAGGGAATTTGAGGATGGCGGAACGCGCCAGGATATCTGCCAATAGTTAAGACCAGAAGGACGAGAAGAAATAGGACTAACCGGAAACCACCTTTGAGCCCTCCATCATAATCTCTCGCATTGTCTTCCAAAGGGGTACTGGAGATCGCGCAAATGTGCCTTTACTGTCCCCTAAAATCCTGAGCACATAGCTGGCCGTCTCCATAGCACTCTTCTGCAACTCGTGTGGGGACATAACACCGTTTTCCTCGCCAATGTCTTCGTCCTGCCACCACTCAAGCAAAATGGAGAGATTGAGAAGCCGTATGAATATAGTCCGCGCAAGCGTCGGGCCATGGTAGAGGGTATGAACGCGTAACGACGCGAGTCGTATGAGTCTGAGGGTCCCAACGACGAGCCTGACTTTCTCGTCCAACAAAGACCACTGCATAGAAGTGGCTGGGGAGGGAAACGCGGCAAGAAACTGTTCAGAGAGACCTTCCACCACGTTGGCATAGTCTGCCTCCGGTCGTGGAAGCTCTCCGGCTTCCTGGAGCGTTTGGGCAACATGTTCAAGGAAAACGAGGAAATTAGGTGGTTGGCTGTCGGTTTTCACATCATGGAGTACGGTCGTAGGAGTTGGGCCAATGGATTCCATTTGAGGTCATGAGAGAGCGTGAGCTACGCGAAAGTCGCGATGGGTGGAGTCGAGGATGTGGAGATCCAGTGGCAGGACGAAATCGCGAGTGATGTGACGCCAGATGGTATCACAATGTGACACAACAACTGTGAACCTGACATTCAAGTTCAAAACGTTCAACGCTTTCAAGCTTCAAAACAACTTGCAAACCCATACTAGTGCTACTCTAATTATCCTACCCTTGCCTATGAACTTAACGAGCACTTTAAGCCAAAATATCTTATAGAACGCAATTACGAGTAACCCTGGACTCGGAGATCGTACAAGTCCCAATATTGAGGAGCCTTTCATCGATCCCGATAACTTGCGTAGCCTGGAATCGCTCCACCTCCATCTCTGTCTAAACTTAAACCCGAATGTTCAAAAAGACGCGGCCTTTAACGACGCCAGTTGCGGCCAGTACTTGACATGTACATTGTCCTTCAAGGGCTCTCGGAATCGTTTCTCTCGGTCTTTTTAACTGTTCAAACTTTGGGCTCGCATAAGTCAGCTTAGCTATGCTGGACTTCACTTTAGCTCCGCCCAGCTGCCGTTGGGCTCCTTCAGCGCTCGAGATCTCCTATTGGACCTTTGTTCTCCAGTTGGCAGTGATGTACATCCGGCTTGAAATAGCTGAACCTCTTCTAATAGGTAAGAGGAAACAAACATCTAATAACAAGTTCTCGTCAAATGTCTGCCCCACGAACTTCAATACTGAAACACTTCTCACTTGGCAGCCGTGTTCTTGATTTCGCCGGCTCGGAATATTGTTGCCCCCAGAGTCAAATATAGCCTGCCCAGTCTGAATGTGGGAGACGATCCATAATGAACTTGAAGCTTGAAGGCGCTTCCTGTCAGTTACTCCCGGTCCTGTTACATATATCCGTTGAATCTTATTCAGAGCCCAGATAACAGTGTCACTGTCATTCACTCCGACAAGACACACGAGGCTCTCAGTGCCCAAAGCGGAAATTGAATACCGATACAGTCCGCCGCTCGAGCTATCTCATTATTTGGGTGTTGTACACTTCACACAACGCTACAACCCTCATTTAAATCTCCCACTGAACAGCCTCCTTGTCAATCTACGGCGTTCAGCGCCATTAACCTGGTCCATAAGATTATATTAGGGCAAGCACGGGCGTAGATATTCTAGGCAAATGTTTTAGACCCGCTCTTGTATTAGCACACTTGATGACGAACTGGAATAAAAAAGAGCAGTATCAATATTCGAATACATTCTGCACGGCGCACTTCGGAGATAGTGTCCAAAGTAGGAGATCTCCAGTCCGATGACACAACGGAGAATCTGCGGAGCTCAGACATACATTCGATAGACGTGAGTCACTACCAAGTCTGAGCAGTCGCGAGACAGAATTGTAACCAAGAGCTGGATCCATCGCCCCTACTTCCTGCCCGCCCTCTTCTTTTGTTTCGCCTTTTCCCTCTCCATGGCCTTTTCCTCCGCTCTCTCCGTCTGAATCTCCCCGACAACCTTCTGCATCCGCTCGCCATACGCGCGATCCTTCTCTCGCTGTCGCTCCTGCTCCACGCCCGCCAAAAACCGCGCATCCTTGCGCAACTCCCTGATAGCCCCCTTCCTTTCCTGCTTGTATTGGGCCCGCAGCTTGGCCGCCTCGTTCCGTTCCTTGTCCGGGTCCTGGTTGCGCAGATACGACGACTTTGACATCTCGAACTTGGGTACGTATGTCGGTATCGGTATCGGCTTGTGGGCTTGCAATAACAGCGGCTTGCGTTCTGCCTTGGCGAATTTGAGAAGCCGACTGAGCATGTCGACCGCGGTGCCGATACGAGGGTGAAGCTCGCGAATACGCAGAAGAATATCGAGGATTGGTTGATATAGCTCGATGAAGCCGTCCAAAGGCTTGTACATCTCTGCGAACCGAGAGAGGAGATCAACAGTAATAAGCAATAACTGCGACTTCGCCTCAACACTATTTGAGTCCACCAAAAGCGCTGCCAAGTCCGCCTTGGGCAGCTCTTTCTTGAGGGCTTTCTTCAGCGCAAAGTTTGACGGGAAATCCGGTACAGGGAATGACCCCGGTATTTCGCTGATGCTGCTGTACCCATGGGGCGCTAAATGAAGAACGCAATTGATGGCGAAATTGACGGCTTCAGGGACAAATCGTTTTGAGAGCGTTTCGTATTGCAAGACCAGCGAGCAGAGGAACAACCCACTGGCGATGTCGGTAGCTGAGCGAACCCGTGCAAGACCCAAATAAGCCGATATAAGAACGCGAGTAGGGGAAATAACAGCATGATTGAGGTCACTTGTTGGCCAAGCTGTACCGATAATGCGGAGAAGGGCGAGTTCCGATAAACCGGGCCAAGTTTTCGAGTTTACGTCCAATGCCCCACGAGATAGACCACGTCGTAAGTTCTTGTGCATTAAGGTAATCTTGGCCACAAAATGCTGGGCTGTTTGAACAGGATAGGCACGCGTAAGCGCAAAAAGATGCGGAACAAGCGCAGATACAAGGGAAAAATTGCCCTCATTCGAAACATAGAGTATGTGGTCGATGAGAACTGCAGCGAGTGTTTGTAGTTTGAACTTGTTTTGTGGGGCTAGACTGGTGTGGAAAAGGGATCGTATTCGGTGGATTACTGTCGGAATATCTTTGTCATCGACATGCTCCAGGATGTCGAGTAGTTCTTCATGGGTGCTTGGACAAGGGAACGTGAAAGGCAGCTCTTTGTCGGGTGCTTTTGATTTTCCTTTGGACGGTTTTGGAGCCGAAGTCAAGTTTTCGTGCTCCCCAGACTCGATATCACTTTCCGAATCCTCCTCTTCACTACCAGAACCACCCTCGTCACCAGAGTCCTCTTCCTCGTCATCTTCGTCCTCGTCTGGTTCCATTGTTGCTTGCTGCTCCTCAAGACCAGCTCCAATCCCTTCCCAGGGGTCGTCCTCATCAAGCGCGAAATCGTCATCCAAATCATCTCCTCCGCGATCCTTTCTCCTCCGCTTCTTTGACCGGCCATTTTCGTCTTCACTGTCGCTTTTTTCGAGACCCAACATGCGCTTCCGCCTGGCACGCTCAGCTTTTTCAAGGGCCTCCTTTTCTGCTCGAGCAACTTCTTCCTCCGTTTTCATACGATCCTTGGGTTTGGCTCTTGACTCGAATGCAAGTTCTCGCACACGCTGGTCGTAGTTTCCGTCTTGAGGAACGATATCTGTGTCCATGAGTGTCGGTTTCGATGGAGGAGTGGAGCTATCATCGTCGGCAGCAGGTTTCGGCGCGCTATACAGCAAGGCCCGCAAATCGTCGAATTGTTGGTCTAGCTCATGACGAACGTTGTCCTCTTCCTCTCGTTCCATTTGATGTTGTAGCTAGACCATTTAATGAGAATGTATCGTTGGAGGCAGAGAAAAATGGTACTTTGTAGGTTTTACTCTTAGCAATAACCTCAGCCATGACCTCCGCCTTCGATTTTACGCGGTCCGGCTAGTTGTGGGTCGTCAATAAAGAGGTCGAATGAGATGGATAAATGAACCTGATTCTCTTCCCCCTCTTCATCGTCAGAGAATCCCTTGAAATGGGTCTTCCGAACGACGTCGCCATCTATTTGGTTCGGCTCCTCCTCCTCTGAATCCTCATCCATCTTCGAGCCAGCTCCGTCAAAGTCGTCAAACTTGGACAAACTTTGCCCATAATGCGTGAGCTCGTCTTCGTCCTCCAGATTGAACGCGACACCTTTCGACGACCGCTGTCTTTCGCGAGTGAACCGCTCCAGCATGCGGTCTTCCAAACTCATCGACGGGTCGTTCTCCCCAAACCGTCGGTCCAATATCCCACCCGCACGGCCCTTATCCTCATACTCCTTCAACAATGTTTTCTTCCTCTGCAAAACCAGTTGGCCACGATAGCAAGACCAAAAAAAACACGCACCTGTTCTAGACCTGCTTGCCGACTTTGCGCGGGCTTCCCAGATACGCCCTTGACCTTCCTTCCGCCAACATCGTGCTTCAGCTTGGTAACCTTGACGTCGAAAGGATTGAGCCGCTTGTGGATCTCCTCCAGCTTTGCTGCACGTTTAGCCTTGTCTTTTTCCTGCGCCCCAGCTGGGCGTTTGCGCTTCTTGCCATTTTGCTGCTGGCTGCCGGTGACACCAGCTTTAGAGAGAGCCGCCTTGAGCTGCGATAACTGCGAGCCCTTCTTCGCCATGGCGAATTTTTCCAAAGTTGATGATGATTTCGGGTCACGGTGGGTCACGTCACGCGAACCCGGCCCTTGTTCCCAAACTCAACGGCCCGGCGAACTCCACCTCAAGCCCGCAAGCCCTTGTTCTTCTTTGCCACCCACCATGCCTCCAGGTCTTCGCTCTGCAGCACCCTCCACCCCATCCAAAGCAACAACTACGCGCTCGCTGGACACTGATGTACCAACACCTCGCAAATCCCCGCATTGCAAAACCTGTGGTCGCCCACGGAAAGGCCACCCGTTGCGCGCGTGCGGCGTCGAATCTTTGCTGCCCAGCGACCCTATCACTCCGTCCAAGCCATCCGCCGCATCTATCACGACCACCCACGACGATGATGATTCGCCCTCGCTCGTTCAAGCAATGGACGCACTCTCGCTTTCTCCAGCCAAAGTCATCGAACACGAAGAGCGCGACAAGGACGAGAAGCGCACCCGGCGCAAGTCGCTGGCGAGGCAGCAAAACATCCCTATTGACTTGCAGTCGCTGCCGAGCATCTCGTCGTTCACGGGAGGGCTGTTGGATGGGCTGACGCTCATGTCTCCCAAGCAGGGTGTGGCGAAAGACGAAGACGACCAAGGCAGCGAGGGCGAGGTAGAACTGCTGCTTGAAGCCGATGAAATTGAGCATGCTGTTGATAAACGGGAGACGATCCTCCAGTGGCGAGATGCCAATGGGACTCCGCGTAAAGTGCGATTCAATGCCATCGGTACGTCCACAGGTGTATTTCTCTAACACTCATTTGACTTTCTGCAGCTAGTGCCGCTCAAGACGAGACAACGCCAACCAAGGTCCTGCGACCAGCACGCTTGAAGTCTCGAATATCGATCTGACCTTCTCTCGCTGTCATACCTACACATCTCGTTGCCCACAAGACCCAACGTAACACTACTACGTCAACATCTACATATCTGCCTAGATCTTGTTTGTATCATCAACCTGCCCAGCAACGTGGCCGCCGCGTTCTTTTCATTAAACTGCCAAACAATCGCAACAAGCTTTTAGACGCGTCGAAGATTGTTGTTGATCGGGACCCGTAGGTTTGCTGGATGGTGAATGATGGCGCTGACAATTGCCGTTATGATCGATGTGCGCCCACAACAATAGGCGATAGTGAGATCAATGGAGTGGGTAAGCAACTGAAAAACGGTTTATGCGGTAACAGATAAGATTCGCTATCGCTCTCACAGAAACATGCAATATTTCATATGATTCTGGGTGCGTCGAAAGCATGTTAATTTGTTGTTGCTTGCATTCCCCGGAACATATCGAGGGAAGGCTGAAGAAGCTGATAAGAGCCAGTTGCGGTTGGGATGCTTGGCACTTGGAGATGGTCGCGTGTCGCCCTTCAGGCACTTTGGGCCCATTCGAAAATTCAACTGACGCCGAAAAAAGGTGGCTCGTCAATCGGGCTACCAAGTGGTGAAGCACGCGAGCTGATCTTCAAATGGCGCAGAAACGGAGGCACAGGCGGCTGGCGTGCTGAAACCGGGTAGCCGGCGTACGCGTCCCCCACTTGACACATTTTGCGAGCTTCCTTTGATTGCCAGCAGCATGCAGGGAAACAGAGGGAAACATGGGACGAGTATTAATAATACTCCGCGCCATGGGATGTTAATTTTCGGGCCACTCTGCCCGATTGAGGAAACTGCCCGAAGCGCATGCAGCTGTCAGCCGCAACCTCATCGCCAAACGCTTAAACGCGATTGCGGCAACGTCCGCCGACGCATGTCATATGTTCCTTATCTCGCGTATGAATGCGGGCTGACAATTGTATGCAGAAGGCAGGAAGCTGGCGCGGGGGAATTCGGAATTGGACGCGGTACCACAGAGATTTGCTGCGTTCCGATTGGGTGAGTTGCTTCACACTGGCAATTTGTGGCGCAGGTGTGTTGTTGCCAAAGCGGGCGAAACGGCCGTGGCTAGCCGTGGGTCCTGGTCCTGCCGATCCCCCACTAGAAGCCCATGATTCCGACAACTGCCAGGGAGGTCTTGTGATACGCCTTGCGTTTCATGATCTCCGTCCACATTCAGCCACAACAGGATAACGAGCCAATGGGAGCTACGGTTACATGAAACAGTCGCCGACCCCGTTGCACGGACCATATGCAGAGAAGTGCGCCTAAGGAGCAGCAGACCCGTTGATCTATGAGCAATTATGTGGACAACGGGAGCTGCAGTTACATGGACTATATGCAGAGAAGTGCGCCTAAGTAGCAGCAGACCCGTTGATCTATGAGCTTGAAGTATGTGGAAGGGGCGCCGGGACTTGTGTGCGACACATAGACATCAAAGGGATGAGCGGTTCGAGGTTGTGGACTCTTGCGGAGAAGCAGCTTGCAAGACGATTTTACTTCCGGTCACATGCAGTCACCAGATGAGATCAGGGTCATGACGTAATCGCGCCACTGGTCGCTTGACCACGACGATGACCTCGACTGACGATGCCGCCGTCGCTCTTGCGCGCAACCAGTCGAGCCTCTCGCTTCTCTCCACGACCTACGCGACTGCATTAGACGTCTGCACGACGATGTATGGCGAGAACACCGCGACGCCCGATGCGATTGAGCGGTTCTATGAAGCGAGTGCAAGTGTGTTGCCCTGCTCTCTGTCTGCTTCGACTCCTACTAATACCCTATTGCAGTGTGCGAATTTCTACTCTCGCCGATGCTCTGCTGAAAGCCACGCAGATACGAAAACCCCGTTCTGACGGCGACCTCGCGCTCTGTGATCGCCGACATCCACGCGATGTCCCGCCAGCTCAGCGCAATCGACGTGCCCCGCCCGATCGCGCTGCTGTGCACGCTCTTCCGCCTGCAGCCGCCCCGCACGGGCTTCCTGGCGCGCAACTTCAACGACCCACTCTTCCAGGCGCTCCGGGTGTGGACGGACATTGGGGATATTTGCGAGAACGAGAGTTTTGGTGAGTGACGCTTCTCTTTCAATCGTTTACTGTTTACCAGTTTGCTGGACTATATTTACGAGTTCTCGTTCATCGCATTCCCTTCCTCTTCGTTATACCACCGCTTTGTTCTCGTTTCTCCAGTTCACGTTTCCGTATATCCTCTTCAATTGCCGTGTCACCGCTCTTCGCTTTCAACCGTTGTCTGTTTACCAGTCTTTTTGGGGAATTGCTGGACTATATTTACTTGTGATGGAGTTTCCGTCTCCGTTTGACCTTGATCCATTCTAATTTCCCTCGCTATACTACTACTATGTGGCCACTGTGCTCTTTTATCCTGTTCACTTTACCGTATTCAGATGGCTAATCAACGACAACAGACGGCCACCGCAAAACGATTGTCGAGCACACCCTCAATATCCTCATCCTCCCCGGAATCCATCGCGAGGGTCGATTTCGCGGGCAGCCATCGACAGACACGCTGCTCACGAATGCCTCTACCCCGCCTTCCCCACTTCCGACAAGTCAGCACCCATCACAGGCCAGCACCCACTCCTTCGCCCACCCCACATCTGACCGCCCCGGCCCTTTCTATACCCGGGACAGCGCTGTCAGTGCCCTCGCCGCTGCACTTCCAGCTGCACATCATCACGCGGCTGTCGTTCAACGAGCAGGGCCACATCACGCATCACCGCGACTTCTGGGACGTCAAGGACGTGTTGGGGCTGGTGCCGGGGGTGTCGCTGGCGCAGTGGATTGGGACCCGGCTGGCGGCGAAGGGCGTGGCGTATGCGACGTCGCTGTGGGGGCTGGGCGGGGAGAGGGAGCGAGAGCAAGAGCAGGAGCGGATGGAGAAGGGTATGATGACATCCCCGATTCCGGTCCCTGTTCAGACACAGACGCGCACGCGGGCGTCGTCACGGGCGTAATTCCGTACGTTCATGCGGTCGCCAGGGCCGATAGTGCGGCTTGCACTATTTCTTTCTTGCGAGGACGACGGTTTGACCGACAATTTCCCGGGCGAAGATACGCAGGCCTAATAATAATATTGCTACGGCTACTACACCCACCGAGATTACACACTAATGCTTAATTCGAATGGCGGCCTGCGTGGTGATAGAAGGCCGGTGTTGGTGTGCCTGGCGGGCTATTTTGGACGAGGGAGAACCAGGCAGGATGAAGGTGGGACGGCTATAGTTTCGCAGATTATGTTAGTATTTATGCCAGTGGTGGCTATTACCAGACTGATTTAGAAATAACCCCCTTGGGAAGGTTGTAGGAATCAGCAGGATAAAGGCAAGGGCAAATTCCAGATTTATCTATCTATTGTTCTATCTATCTATTGTTTGTATGATTAAACTGCTAGATAAATAGTAGCCTTTGATATAAAGAAAATATGTGGACAAAGCTTGTCACAGCTTAGCTAAGGCCATTGGACAGGCCTGTTGGGCCTATTAGCAAAACACATAGTCAGAGAGATAATTCAGAGACAATAGCATAGAGTTTACAATTTGGTGTTATTAATTGATAATAAGTTTAGGGTCCAGTTCAGTTCATATGATGCATACCCAAATATCAAACAATACTCAAAGTCAGTGGATTAAATCTTTTCTGATAAGAGATAATAAAGTAAAGTTACTATCAAGGGAAGATAAAAATAGTGATCTTGATATAACCTCAGACTCAGGGGTTTGTCAGTGGAACCTTCTGTCATAGATAAGACCTGGCCCATTCTTTCTGGTGCTGGTGCCAGGCCACCAAGGGCCCAGGAACATGCATAGAAGAACAATGTCAGAAACTCAATATTGAGCCCTGTGTCAGGGGAACCTCCCTTTTGGCCCCTCGGAGACGATTCCGATTCCGGTCCAATTCCGGTTCCGACTCTGGTCTGGCCCTCCATCTCACGCGCACAATCACTGATCCGTCAATGCCCTCCCAACGGTCGCCCTGAGACCTTGCCTGTGACGCCGCCCAGGCCTTCTATGCCCGACAGTGGCAGCTACGGACAAGCAGTATATAGTCAGCTCCCTAGCAGGCGGACCCTTAGAGTTTCTTCTCTTTGGATCCACCCCTGCTAGGTCAGCCTCATTTGTATTTGCTTACCAATGTTCACGTCACAAGATTAGCCACTCTCGGGCCAAAAAAGCATGCCTACCAAGTTGGCAGCCACTGCCTACGCTGCCGAAGGGCCCCGAACTATGGAAAACAGTGTACCGGTGCATTACTTGGCCGAGTTCAAAGAAGTATTTGAGAAACAGGACTTCAATAAACTCCCGGACCAGAGAAAATGGGATCACACCATTGAACTCCACTCAAATGCCTAACCCGTGAAGGGTTGCTGCATCCCGCTTGTCAGACTGCGGGTCGGGCCGTGCAAGGTCCTTCCCTAAGAATGCGCACCCGGAACAGAACAGACAGATCGTCGGGCTAGATCGAAACCCAAGGGCCCGTTAACTCGGTCTCTTGTTGCTGTCAGTGGTCGAAGGTTCGAATCAGGTCATATCGGGCCCAATGAGTCGGTGGCACCTCCTTGCACAGAGAAAGGTAGTTCTTTAGACGATCTAAGCGATAGAGTACATGTGTAAGGGCAACCCTGGAGACTCCGACGAAAGCCTAGCAGGGGAGGATCCAAAGCGTGAATAGAAGCTACGGAAATACACGGAGGGACCGACCTAGCAGGGGAGGATCCAAAGAGAAGAAACTCTAAGGGTCCGCCTGCTAGGGCGCCAACTATATACTGGTCGTCCGTAACTGCCGACATAGAGCGCAGAAGGCCTGAGCGGCGTCGCAAGCTTTGTCCCAAGGTGATCGTTGGGAGGGTCTTGACGGATCGGTGATTGTGCGGGCAAAGGAGGCCGGGGACGATGGCCGGGGTGGGTCGGAGCGTCCGAGGAGGCGCCGGTCGGATGCGCCTCGGATGCGTTCGGAGGGTCCGAAGGAGGCCGAAGCGGGGGTTCCCCTGACATCACCCCCCCCTTTGAATGCGGCGTCCCGACGCATAGTTCGAAAGGGCAAGGAGTCGAAAGTCGCTGAGGCGATGTGCCGTGGTTTACCCGGGTACCTCCGATAGAAGTCCGCAATCTTGTCTGGCGCAAAGACACGGTCGAAGCGAACCCACGAGTCGTGTGAAGCGTCGTAGCCTTTCCACCTGACGAAATAGTTAAGACGCTTATACCTTATCCTGGCATCCAAGATTTCCTCGACTTCCCATTCGGGGACTCCGTCCTCTAGCTCGGGGGGCGGTTCGTCGTAGCCGGGTCGTCCATTGAAGGGGTCGTCCTGAGCGGGCTCGAGCTTAACAACGGGGAAGACGGGGTGGAGCTTGGAGTAACGCGGGGGGAGGTCGAGCTTGTAGGCACCTTTGCTAACCTCTGCGAGCACCTTGAACGGTCTGAGGCGCTTGTGGGAGAACTTCTCGGAGGGCCGAGTCGTTCTAATGTCAGAGGCGTCCAACCAAACCTTATCACCAACTTGAATATTCGGAGCGTCCGAACGTTTCCGATCGTAGTACCCTTTATACACCCTGTATACCTAGTCTTTTGCAAAAGATGTGGGCCACTGCCCACCAGTCTAATGGCAAAAGATGTGGGCAATTGCCCACAAGTCACAAGCCTGTAATATAAATACCAGATTAAAGAGCCAAATTGATAGCTATGACTAAGCTAATGCTATATATGGTAATAGAAGTCACTATTTCTTCAGGCCGATGATTCGGTATATAATTTGGAACAGTTCATAATACAGGGCAAGGGAATTGATGTAATCACATGTCACATTGATGGAACAGAGCCTAATAAGCAAATCAATTGATCTTCATCAAAAATGGTTCCACATCAAAAGCATTATATAAAAGGCATTGATCCCATCACCTAGAAGGTGCTACAAAGCCCTAAAATAATGAATTATCATAGAAATACTTGTGACATTTGTGACTTTAGAGCTGTTGCCCACATCTTTTGCATTACACCCATGGGCAGTGGCCCACATCTTTTGCATAGAAGTAGCTATATCAGCTGCTTTATACTTGTCTTTGGCTTTAACGAGCGCGGCCTTTGCCTCGGAGACGCCGTTAGCTATCCGATCGCGAAACTCGTTCACCGACTCCAACTCTGAGCGGGCGCCTGGCTCGAAACCCATTCGGGGGAGCCGACCAGTGTCCGTCATAAAGGGTACCTGTTGAGTGGAGGAGTGAACGTGGTTGTTATAGGCGAACTCAGCGGCAGGGATAAGCTCGTCCCAGTCGTCTTGTTGGTAGTTGGTGAAGATCCGGATGTACTGCTCGAGCTCTTGGTTAACGCGTTCGGTTTGTCCGTCGGTTTGCGGGTGGTAAGCCGTAGAGGTGGCCGGTTTGACGCCAATTAAGCGCCAGAGTTCGCGCGTGAAGTCAGCGATGAACTGCGAACCACGGTCCGAAATGTACTTCTCGGGGGTTCCGTGGTGCCTCCAGACATTCCGATAGTACAACCGGGTGGCTCCGACCGCGTCTATTGTCGTATGGCACTCAGTGAAGTGAGCGCGTTGGCCAAGAGCGTCGACGACTACCATGACCGCGTCGTACCCGTGAGCCTCGGGGAGCTCGACGATGAAGTCCACCATGACGGTGTGCCAGCGTTCGGGGGGGACTTCGGTCGGGTGTAGCTCTCCGTGCGGGAGCCTTCGGGGAGCCTTCGGAGGGCCTTCGTGCGGCAGCACAAGTCGCAGGTCGCGACGTAGCGTCCGATATGGCGGGACATCTGTGGCCACCAGTAGTTGCGCGAAACCAGCTCTAGGGTTTTGAACCGACTGGCGTGTCCGGCGACTCGCGTGTCGTGGCAGAGCTCGATGATGCGCCTCCTTAGGTCCTTGTCTTTGGGGACTACGACCTTGCCGCGGAAGTACAAGAGATCGCCCGAGACGGCCCACTCGTCCGAACGTGATGAGCGGGGGCCCCGAACTTGACCTCGGACCTTCAAGAGTTGCCAGGCCGCAAGCGCGACGGGCTCCTCTAGGTCAGGCTCACCGGATAGCGCTTCCTTGATGTCGCGGACAAGTTCGGACCCCGGCCCAGAGACAGTGACGGCCTCGAGCGCGCGAACGTGGAAAAGCTCAGGGCGCAAGAGGGTGACGTCCGAGTTGTCTTCGGAGATGCCGTGGTCAGGCCGGCGGGAGAGAGCATCGGGGCAGCCCATCTGGCGACCTGGGACGTGGTGCAGCGTGAAGTCAAACTTAGAAAGGTACAACGACCATCGGGCTTGCCGACGGTTAAGGTGCTGTGCCTTTCGGAAATACTCCAAATTCTTATGGTCAGTCCAGATCTCGACTGGATGCGCGGCGCCCTCGAGGAAATGCCGATACTCCTCGAGTGCGCGGATGATCGCGAGCATCTCCTTGTCGTGAATCTCGTAGTTGCGCTGGACATCATTTAAGCTTTTGGAATAGAACACTACAGGGTGCCACTTCCCGTCCGGGGCGGATTGTTGTGAAAGAACCGCCCCTGTCGCATAATCTGAGCTGTCTGCTTCAAGTCGGAAAGGCCGAGAGTCGTCCGGGATCGCTAAGACGGGCTCTGAGACGACCGCGTCTTTGATAGCTTGAAAGGCGGCGGCTTCGGCGTCTCCCCAGGTCCATTTCTGGTCTTTCTTGGTGAGCGCAAAGAGAGGCTGCGCAAGGGCCGAGAAATCCCGAATGAACCTGCGGTAGAAATTAGCAAACCCCAGAAACTGCTGGACGTCCTTCTTGTTTTCGGGTGGAGGCCATGCGGAGACTCCGGCGACCTTAACGGGATCCATCTCGACGTGGTTGTGAGAGATGATAACCCCCAGGTACTCGATCGACGATTTCTCGAAGTCGCACTTCTCCTTGCGAAGGTACAGCTTGTGCATTCGGAGTCTCCGAAGGACTTCGCGGACGATCTCGCGGTGCTTACGGAGGTCCGAATGTGCGATAAGGA